CCGCCCACCAGCACTCTCCATCCAACCCTATCCTCGGCAAACCTTTTCAGTTCTATCCAATTATTGTTCATTTTTCTCATGTCTGTCTTCATTTCTCAGCGTAATGTGTTCTTTGGCCTTCCTCTTTCCCGCTTCCCTTCACGATTCCAAGTTAGGACTTGCCACGTGATGTAGTTTGATGATTTCCGTAATGTATGTCCTATCCATTTCTATCGTCTTTTCTTAATTTCCTCTTCAGCTGATGGTATCCGGTCAATGGATGTTGAGTATCTTACATAGACAACTATTTATAAATAGTTGTACTTTCTTGATGATAGTTGGATTAGTTCTCCAAGTTTCAGCTCCGTATTGTAGAATTGTGTTGACGTTTGTGTTGAAGATTCTGACTTTGATATTGGTTGAAAGTTGTTTTGAGTTCCATATGTTCTTCAATTGTAGGAATGCAGCCCTTGCTTTGCTAGTCCTTGCCTTTGCATCGGCATCCGATCCTCCTTCTGCATCGATGATGCTACCACCCAAGTACGTGAAGGATTCCACACCTTCCAGAGTTTCTCCATCAGGTGTGATGCGGTTGGTGTTCTCCGTGTTGTATTTGAGGACCTTGGTGAGGCTGTTGCCATACAAGCTGTCTTCATCTGCATTTGTTTGTGTGTATGGGATAGGAGGGCTAGGTCATCTCCGAAGTCCAAATCGTCTAATTGATTCTGAGCTGTTCATAGTGTTTCTTGTTTTCCCTCTGATATCGAGGTCTTCATAATCCAGTCGACCACCAAAAGAAAGAGAAAGGGAGAGAGTAGACAGCCTTGTCTGACTCTGGTCCTTACTTGGAATGCATCAGTCAGCTGTCCTCCATGCACGACTTTGCACTGTAGTCCGTCGTATGAGTTCCGGATAGTGTTGACAATCTTCTCAGGAACTCCGTAGTGTCGAATACGTTTTCACAATGTTCTCCTGTCCACACCGTCAAACACCTTTTCATAATCAGTGAAACTGATGCATAGCGACGAGTTACATTCAGTTGATTGTTCGACGATGATCCGTAGTGTCGAAATTCGGTCTGTGCACGACCAATCCATACGGAATCCAGTCTGTTGATCTCGAAGTTGGGCGCCTACTGCGTCTTTCCTCTGGTTCAGCAACACTCTGCTGAAAACTTTTCCTGGTACTGATAGTAGTGTGATGCCTCTATAGTTCTCATATTTGCTCAGATCTCCTTTCTTTGGTATTTTGATAAAGTGTCCTTCTTTCCAATGTGTCGGTGGCACTTGATCCTCTTTCCAAATCTTCTTGAATAGTCACATTAATTAACAAATAAATGTTTGCAATATTCTTTATATTTATATTCCATGACCGAGTGCAAATTATTTAAGTAAGAACATAAATATTCCTGAATTGAATATACAGTTACGTACCTGAATTAGCTGGGATATACAGTAACACAATATAATAGAACTGAATAGATACAATTAGACTGAACTAATAGTGATACTGGAATAACACTGGAATTAGATCTCTTTAATTGATTTGGATTTATTTTGAGACTAACAGTTCTATTGTAATGAAATAAATACAAGACTGAGTTAGACTGATCATATCCATATTGTAATGAAATTAATTCAAACTATCCAAAGTATCAGTTAGTCAGAGTGTCTCCAATAGTTATAGATCAAGATAACAATGGATATATGACTATTAATAGATGGGTAGAAAGGTGACGAATCAAAAGTGATTCTTATACACATAGTTCCCTTTATCTCCTTGTTTTGAAGGGAGCAAGAACAAAAAATTGTACAGAATAACACGAATTCCTTTTATTTCGTTTAGTTCTCGTAAGCTACTTACAACCTGTGATGATTAAAAATCCTGATTACAAAATGGATTCAAACTACTTAAATGAAGTAATTTAGTTCGAAGTAACTTTGAAGATGGGAGGTAAAACCCAATTCCTTCGCCCTGGATATTAGGACTTGTCCCATGAACTAACGTGAGCAGTAAACTGGGTGTTAGAGTTCGGACTAATCAATCACTCAACCAATACCCATAAACAATTACAAGCGCTGTAAAGAAAAATAGTACAGCTTTTTTAACTTTGAAGTAAAGTACGAGTGTAAGCAAACTTGATGGACTGAATAAATATTGTAAATATATACCTTATTTAAAAAAACAGTCTATAACTTTGATAGTAACAGAAGTCTAAAGTGCTAGAAATAATTGGTACGTGCACAGGAGATATTGAGAGAATTCATATATAGGATATCCGAATTCGTCAGACAACTCATCACAAGTTAACTAGTCGAATTAAATTAATACATTTGACAGCCATTTGCTCAATTTGATATCGTATTCCAAAATCATTTAATCACACATTGTCGTTCAGTGATTAAAATTAAGTGTTACCACCCTTGGTTTCCGCCTCAGCAGTTTAGATGTTAAGTATTTACTCGTGAGATCGAAGGTCTTAGGTTCGTTCGGATGAATATTATGTCTTTTACTAATTACTATTCATCAGCAAGTATTATCTGAAACGTTATTTATGGAATAGATATGTAGACAATACATTTATAAATGAATATAGATGAAAGCTAAGTAAATGATCTAATTAGATGTGATTTTCTTAGTTCTTCAGCCTATATAAGTTTTCTGAATAACCTTTAAAAATAATCCATAACACTTTATACTACTTATTAATATGTTTAGTAACATCAGTTGTAACAATTTAATAAGGTCAATGAACTCATTGATGCTTTTTCAACTTACAATTACGGTATTCATCATTACCTTCGATTATTTTAGCCCGTGTAACTCAAAATCTTAACAGTTATTATTTTAATAGTTGAGATCATGAGTCAATTAAAGCTAGATCACCATGGAAAACCTGAATGCACTGGACGGCCGTTTCGTTCTAGTATGGAACTCCTCAGCAGTGCGCATCCCCAATCCGGCCACCTGAGATTCGAACCCAGGATCTATTGGTCTCACGCGCAAACGCTTAACCTCTAGACTATTGAACTGCTATCCAACGGTGTTAATGTTTAATTTCAACTAATCCTTCACGCAAATTCAATTGTTGTATCGATTATTTCAAAAATGTTTTCATGGAATTGTTACCTATTACAAAGAAAAACAAGGGTATTAGAATTTTTGAAAGGTTTTATTTACTTCATTATTGTATTAGTTCATGTCCTTCTGTTTTCTTATAATCTTGCTTTATGTCATCACTTTTGTTTATTTAGTTTTTCTCATGTCAACACAGTGTGATTTTACCGAAACTCTTATATATTATAAATAACATAATGATGTACACTTTGGAATGAATGTTTTATTCTAATTTAGTATTTCATTAATTAATTGGAATCCACATTAGAAACGCTGAAATACATTCAATTCAGTAGTTGACATGCATACGACTTTTATATTCAAACAACAACAACAATATCATTATCATCAGTATCATCTTGTGTATTGTATAGTGAATAGCCTTTCCAAATGACATGATGGATAATAAGTAGTGTGGTGGATGAAAACAAAAGTGGGGATAAACAAATGTAAATGAATGGAAAATTACATAATTTGTTAATAAAATCTGAGAACCATGTAGTAAATACTTCGTTTGCAAAATATCAGTCGATCATCTTAGATTTCATTGTTCTTTCGTTTCCACACTAATCATTCTCTGTTCTCATGCTCTTTACTTCGATTCTCTTAATCTTCTGCTGCCAGGCATTTCACTTTCGATTGGTAATACATACTACTTATATCTGTCAACATCAGTAACACACACCACAATATAGTTGTTAGAATGTGTTTTTCTTATTATTTAGGGATTAAAATAATGGACTGTTTAATGATATTTGATCAGTTTGAGAATCAAATCTCCTTATGATTTGTTAGAATGAAAATGTAATATGCTGATGACTTTTATTGCTAACTTGATGATTACAATGAAATCTAGTATGTTGGAATTGTCGATCTTCATGGAGCACATCACAATTCTATCTTCGTTAGAAAACTCTTAATACAGGCTTAACCTTGGTATGTAACTCTTCAGCAATCTACTTACAAAACAGAATCAGAAGTTACGTACTAAGACTAAACAACTATTTAGTATTCTAGTAACCCCCAGGCTAAATCTACACAGCAACTTGAACATGAGAGAAAAGGAGTGAAACATAGAAGGAACGCTTTACTCCAAAAGTTCATTTATGGCACAGGAAATCTAGTGTATTTATAGCATTTTAGATGGCCTTGGGCTTCTAGAAAATTCTGAAACGCTATTACACATAGTAGCACCATAGATAATCATCCAACCAGAAACTTGATATGTGACGTTTCACTTTCGAGATGTTTCTGGTACAACTTTTATTAAATGTTGATTGCATAATGTATTTCTCAACGTTTCCAGATTCTTTTATTGCTTTTTGTTTTCAAGAGGTATTTTCCGGATCACTCCCAACAGATTTTGCACCAGTTACAAAAAAACGAATCTGTGTTTATATAATCAGTGGAATAAAATATTTTAGATTATTAAGATCAATTTCAGTTTGAAAAGGTTAGAAGGCTTGATGACTTGTATTAGTCCCGTCAACGATCATCTCTCAAGAATTGATAATCAATGTCATTTATCAGTAATAAATCATTTGCTGAGGAGTCTCATACTAGGACGAAACGGCCATCCAGTGCTTTCAGGTTTTCCATGGTGGTCTAGCTTCAATCGACTGATGATTTCAACCTATGAAATTTCTAAATCATTTGACATTTGAATAACAAATCTATGACGCATTCAGTATTATTTCCCATCATTTATATATTGACAATCAAATAAAACAACCAATTAGAATGTCTGAAAACATTTTTGATGAAAGGTAAACATACCCAAGGTTATTTCACAAGAATGAACCAATCATAATTCAAATCAAATTATTGACCCAATCATTCAAACACCTATTAATCGATAATAAACATATATATATATATATATATATAATATTAAGAGACATGTCAATCAGAGAACATGTATTATATATGATGTTGTATATGATTATTATTATTTAATACAAATGACAAAGACATTATCTTTAATTCTTCAACCATTCAGTATTCTATTCATTAGTTTAGCTTTAATAATAAATCATTGGAATTGTGGTGGATTATTTACATCATGTTTAAGAAATTATCAAACCACTTCAATATTATTAATATTATTCTTTTTTCTTGGTATAATACTTTTAATTATTGCATTTATACTTGATTTAATAACTATCTGTTCTGAATCACTTGATTCAAATACTTCATATTCTACAATTCGTTTGATTATATTAATATGTGGTTTAATCAATATACTTTTAGCTATTCTTATTTATTCATTACAAATAGATCGTCAATTTTCTCGTTTATTATGTACAATTGGTATTGTATTTGTAATACAAGTTGCTTTACTTAATTTATTATTCTCTTCTTGTATTCATAGAAATCATCATTCTGAACCAATAGTTCATTGAATGAATGAATAATTCTATGTAAGTTATTCTGTTTGTATGTTGATATTACATTCCATCAATTCTTTGTTAAGCTTTAAAGCATCATGCTTACATTGTTGTTGTTGTTGTGTTGGTTTTTTTTTTCATAACAACTACCTGGTTCTAGTTTATACTTTATTTCCCACCCTGTCCCACCCCCCATTAAGCTATGTATTTATATATTCTTTTATATTATAATGCTAGTATTTTACTTACAATATAAATACTGTTATATCTGACTTTTCATTATATAATCCATTCTGTTTTAGTGATCGACTGACATGAACGATATAAAAAAATAACAACCCATTAAAGATCAAAACCTTTGCTATTTGCTGTTGCACAGCTACTTTTCTCACTTCTAGCTTAGAATCTTCTTTATGTGATTTAGTACAAAGTAGTTAACTAGTGATATACTTAATCTCGACACAATACTATCGTTCATGTTTAAAGCTTGTCAAATAACATGTGAATTTCAAAAAGAATTTGAATACTACCATTTATTTGAATTAACATAGGTTTTTAACCAGAACTATTTATTTTTACTAACAGTTAGCTTGACAAAGTTTTAAATCACAAACTGGCCACTATTGAAAATCAGGAAGCAATGGTATGAGCCTCCTCATCAGTCCACGTCTGCGACCTCGCTATAGAGATTCAAACTCAGAACTTTCAGTCTGGTACACGATCGCCTAACCCACAGATTACTGAACCGACATCCATTTGTGTACATAATTAATGTCAGTCTATTTACAGTATTGTGCTACCATGATACCCTATTTTGATAATAATCAAATTAGTTAAATTAATCCACTAGACTAATCTAAGTCATTCATTGTAATTTGGTAACCAAGTCCCGACACATACAACTAACCTCCAGTCACATTTTCATTCTGTAGTTTAATAATGCTATCCAAAATAAGGTAAATAAAGTGGTGTTTGTAGATGCAGTTTAGTCAGTGAGAGCCGCGTAATTTAAAAGCTGGTCCACTCAGACAGATTTCGAATAATAGAAACTTTTATTTATGGACTATATAGTATGCCTACGTTGTCTTATTTGAGTGAATACATTCATATCATCCATATACTAAAAACTTACCTTATCTAAATAATTAGATTCATTCATGCTCTTTTGTTTACATTTGTCTTTATGATATAAACCTCTCTCCGTAAACAAAGTATATCTTAGATGATTTAATACTGTCTTGAAACATTATGACAGCGTCTCAAAAATGAAAAATGTCTCTTACCGAACCGAAGGACTCGATATATGTGATGTCCTCTTTTTGCTTCTTTCCCATCTCTCTCAAATCTTGTACTAAGTAGAAGATACTTCATTCGCACCTAACTTTCATCAGCTCATCATGGTTTATAGGGTTAAACAAAATTCACAATGAATCGAGTTTATACATATGGCCAGTTACATTCAACGTACAATCCGGAACAAATATGTACCACCCCAAGTTCTTAGAAATGAGATATTAATGTTGTTATTGTGTAACCTTTTAAAACAAAATCGGTTAACTGAGTACAGATGAGATAATAAGTAAGGATGAATGATTAGTATCAAGAGAGGAGTTGTGTTGTATCCTAGTAAAGATTAAGTTACGGGTAACTTTTGTGAACTATTAATGGACTAATATAATCTATACATTCTTATGGTATAACTATTCAGTAATTAAATGATATATATCTATATTCCTCTTATTATAAGCTTCATTTTAACCTTTAGATTATTATTGTACGATTTACTGTTCATAAGTTATACTCAGTTTATTGACTACTACCTCCCACGTTCACAGCCACTTCTTGGCTTGATCTTGTACAAATATTATTTCCTATTTTATGGTGTAATGTGCTCTGTTTGTCTTGTATATAAACCAGGTATGTTTGAAATAAATGATTCGTATAGTGAAAGCTGTTATTGGTGTTCTGGACTCAACTGGCAGGGCTAGAAGGACAAAGGACCAATAAGGACACTAGTTTGCTCATACCGGTCGAACGTTACTGGTTTGACACATTACTAAGATTGTATAATTCGTATATCGCTTAACGAATAAATCATGCGATAATTAGCCGGGCTTAATGTCATAAGTTGCTTAATCAACATTTATGAAATTAACCGGATGAAAAACAAAGTGAATTAGTGGTAACATCAGAAATAGCGAAAAAGAGTCAGAATTGAAAAGTGAAGTTAGAGACGAAGCGGATAATCACTTATGTTTTAAGTGATCTCTATTAATTTGTCTAAAGCAGATATGAAAAGGATTGCCCAGGACATGGTTGGATGGAGAGTGCTGGTGGGCGGCCTATGCTTCTCGACGAGGAGTAACAGGCGTAAGTAAGTAAGTATTAATGTGTCATATTTTGTGCATAAGTGTACTGCTTTATTACGAAAAATCGATTCTGTTCAACAATCACTTTGTCTTTTAATATCAGTTCATTTAAGAGTTGGCATTAATAGTTCTTTCTTAAGATGACCACGTTGTATCTTTGTACATTATACTTAAAATTTTAATAACTCCAAACGTGTTCATTATACTTCAAAACAATCCTACTGTAGTGATTTGGAATAAAACTGATTTGTCAGGGCTATGAATTGAACTAAGCATTGATTACTGCTACTGATCTAATTATTCGCTATGATTGCGGAATAACTTCCACCTGCTACTCATTGAAACGTAACAACAGTGGTTTATCAATATACGAAAAAAAATGCATTGAAGATTACTTTACTCACGAGCCATTAATTAAAAGACATCCAGAACAATAAATAGTGATAAATATCACTTGGTATTGTTCACTGGAATCTTCCCACTATCCATCTTTGCTTATAATGCTTGTGAATTAAGGCAATATCGAGGCAATACACATAGTGTGCACATATACCAATAAGAGACTGATCAATTGCAGTCCTAAACAACAATGGAAAGATTCAATTAAACAATAACAAGTGAATTTAAACTTCACCCCATTGTACAAGCAGGTGGCCATTAGGACTCAGTAGCTAGGTGGTTAACGCGATGGCGTTTGAAGAGAATGGTACTGGGTTCGAGTCCCAGAGTTGACATCAACTCTTAGATGCAAGTACATCCAGAGTCATAAATAGGACGAAATGTGCGTATTGGATTCCACAGTTAGCCACTATCGGTCTTTGCTTATAACAATAAATATAGTTTTATATGTCTAATCAATTTTGAACTTATAATTAATTAATAGTCTAATGTATGCATATAATTTCTAAAATCATTAAATGTACTTGGCTGAGAACTATATTATTCGTCACTAAATTACGTTTATTTTCTTAACAACTTCTCCTACAAAAATAATATTTGAATTTCAACTAAACAATTGTTTATCCTTTGTTTTCGTTTATACATATCTGGCATAGGCATAAAATATCAGATTATCTCATACTTGTGAAGTATACATTTATGTTAATTACCTTATTTTTTATGGTGTTAGAATACATTAGAATAGGGGTGTGGAAAACTATACAGTTTACACGATTTGTAATGATATTTAATCCATACGACTGTGTTGTAGTGTAACATTTTTAAGGTCATTATCATTTTCACATCTGGCCAAGTTATTTCTCATTGATTATATATATATATATATATATATATATATATATATATATATATATATATATATATATATATATATATATATATATATATATATATATTAGAACGGGCTGGCGCAACTATTGGACAGGCCATCTCAGCCATGAACTTGAATAAGTTGAGTGCATGATCGCTTCTCCCTAGAGGTGGTAGAAAAGTCATCCAGTCGATATCATCACCGTGTGAAGACTAAGTCCAAGAGAGACTAAGAGCTTCTTCAGCATATCTGATGGGGTCTCTAATGTCCCGTAATAAAGCTAATGCAATGGAGGTTTCTAACAGTTTGCAATCAAATGACGTTGTCGATGACTCTATTTCTAAGTTTACCCGGTTAATATACGGTGCATTAAAGTCGCCTACTTCAAGGCTTCTATCCCTATTACACCAGGACCTAATTTGGCTTAGGAGGAAGTCATCTAATACACATTCTGGACTGCGGTATACTACAACTAATTCAGTATCTTACCGTTTACATTTCAGCCTGCAACGCACCAGTTTACATGTCCCTGCGTCGTGTGCCACCGTCTCAAAAGCTCGTATGGTTAAAGTACTTTTCGTGTGCTAGATAACCCCACATCCCCTACTGTTTAATCTATCAGCCCTACTGGATAAAATACCAGTCAACTGGATTTCATTATCAAACACTTCTGATGCTAACCAAGTTTCTGAGACAGCAATAACATCCGGTTTTCCTTTATCCACCATTGACTTGAGCTCCGCAATTTTATTTAGTAGGCTGCGAGCGTTTGTGTAGCACACCTTTAATTTTGTGAAGAACTTTCTCTTACCACTCAGATTGGTTTGAGGATCGTTTTTCTTCGAACGTTCACAATTTGAAAACTCTTAAGTACTAGATTTCTTTCACCGTTTCGGCAGCGCTCATTTATTCCTACTTCTGCCGACCGTCTCTTAATACGATCAGCTAAGCTGAGATCCCCACGGACGTATATTCCGGATCCAATCATTTTGCGCGAGTTTTCCAGTATCAGGTTTCTTTCTTCAGCCGAAGCAAAGGTAAACTTTAAGAGGCGGCTTTTATGCGTACTTCCAGAATCCACCTTCTGTCATATTCTATAAAGCTTACAGACGCCAACTACTGAAACTGTTTCTGGGAGTAGCTTGCTTATTAAGGACTTAATGTGACCGAAGTCGTGCTCAAATCCAGCCTCCGGTTCCTTATTGGAAGATTCTCTTAACTTATGGAAAATGACTGGCCTGTCAGCTAGGTCCGTTTTAACACAGAAATTTTAATTCTTGAAATCTTCTCTTCCCTGCAATCTGATTCCGAATTGACATCAAACGAAAACACAGGCCTGCTCAAATTAAAAAAGTTCATTCACGTACCTGGATGTATTATGAGCCTAAACATACATTTCTGTTCCTCTGGTGTGCATATACCGTATAAGATGTAGCAAATACGAGTGAAGAGAGTGGTGAGCATCAACCCTCCAAAAGGGGCGAGTATGAATGTGTGTTTGCCATAAGATGCATAAATTAATACCTATATGTTACCGATGTATGTGTAACGTATACTAGTACCATATGTGACTCTCGCACACCAATATCCATGGGGTTCTAACAGTTTTCAATCGGAATTCTTAAGTGAGGCTTGACCAACCCCTCATGAGTGGCTGGTACACCATGTACTCAATGAATCATAACTCAGTGCCTCATACAATTTGTAATGTCAGATCATGGTGGAAATCGCAGTCCTGTTTTGAAAAATTCTCAGTCATATATTATTGTTGTTATTGTGTTCATCGATAACAGATTATGCTAACAATGTCAAAAATTGTACAAAAATCTCTATAAAAACTTTAAATGTCACTTCATTTTATTTAATGCAAACTGAATGACACAAACTTACTTCTTTAATTACTTGATCCTGAACATACAAAAACATAAAGAAATGGTAGAACGACACAGTGTATTGATGGATATAGATTTAATTGGGAAATTATTAGGTATCTGGATTGAAGAATCTAAGAATTTCCAAAATGGTCTGTAATGATGAATAGATCTTCAAAATAAATAGCTCTGTATATCTTTGTCATAGACGCTGAACTTATCAGTTTTACTGTACATACCCCTAGTTGGAGATACTTGATCAAGCATAAGTACCAGAAAACTTTTGGGTATCATATGATGGGTATCTGCTAAGACAACCAGTTAATTTGGATTCCTAGTATAAAGGTTGTGGAGATTATTAAGTTTTTGATTGAGATCTTGAACCAATTGATGTTAGACCATCACGAAACGGCCGTCCAGTGCTTCCAGGTTTTCAGTTGTGATGGTCTAACATCAATTGGTTCAAGATCTCAATTTGGATTCCATCAAATAAAATACATAGTTCTTTAATCCGAATGTATGTTTACACACAATCATTCCTGACGCCTGGTTTTACTGGGTTTGGGATCGCTGTATAAAAAGAGATTTTGGGCATAAGTGTTGTTAAACCCCGTGTACCCATGACCTCTTCAGGTGATATTTTAATCGATATTCAGTCAATATACATATCTATGTAAGTTTAATGTATCAGTCCATATGAGATATATTAATCGATCACATGAATAGAGAAGTTAGTTCAAAGACTTATAAAAACAATAGTTTGTGAAGATATTTAGTTACAAATAAGGTCATCAGAAAAGTTTAATTTAGTACTTTTAGAATATTTCGGAATAGCATTCCTTTCACTTGTCTTCCGTCTTCTCATTTGCGACTTAGAGGGTTCTAGTGTTCAAGTGCTCAAGTTGTACGCGGTATATTAAGAATCTAAGTTCTAGAAATAACAGAATAATTTCAAAGTGTTTACTTCTGTTTGTTTAAAACGACGATGAAGATTGAACAGTTACACGATTAAACTACGACACCCGACACTACTACTACTATTCGATACTTCTAACTGACACTTGTGCTGATGATTTAGTTCAGAAGAACGATGAAAGCTCCACGACCAAACCATCCAGCTCAGAGAACAAACTCCATAAAAAATTCGACACTACTTAAGAGCTATTAAAATCTATCATCAATCGAGTTTTTAAATGTTTGACATATTTATATCTCATTACAGAACATTATTTTAGCTTAAGTAAATGAAATCCACAACAACAAAAAAAGAGAAAATTTTCTTTGCTGAATTACATTACACTAAATATATGTTTCCGAGTTATATTCACTTGGCAACAAAAATTTCTTTCAAGGTAATATTCACCAATAAATATTTACTTACAGTGAGATAAGTAAAGTTTAAATCGATATATATGAGAAATTTCAATTAACTTTCTATTG